TATACATAAAAACTATGTTAGCACCGATCGCTTGATTATTACTCCCAAGTAGAAAAAGATTGCTCTTAAACATTTTTGCAACTACTGCACCCTGATATAAAAGCCAAGTTGATAAGTTCGACGAGTATGAAAATAACGTAGGCGTTAGTTAATAACAGATTGTCATCCGAAAGGTTGGTTTACTTCTTCCCGATGATGGATATCAGTTCTTCCACCTTCTGAATGTACTGTTCTTTCGCAGCATCTTGGCTCATGCCCTTCCTACCGTTCCAAGCGTCCCACTTAGCTTTGCCCTTCAAATCCAGCATGCCTGGCCTAGCTAACAACGTGAAAAAGGACAAACACTTAGAAAGTCGTCTACAATTTCTGCAACCTTGATATTAGTTAGAGACTCTGTATATCCCTGCATGTTCATTAATCGTCTAATTTGCATTACTAATCGCGAGAGGCAGTCGATATAAAAAACAGTCGAAGTTCAAAGGTCTCGTCATTTCTTGGTAAATCTTATCAAAGGTTTATAATGCAACAAGTTTTTGGTAGCGAGCTAAACATTACGAAGTGTGTGTGCTTACACGTGTTGCAATCGCCGACGGTGGCCTGTTTGTACAGCGAGTACAATTCGAGTAGATCATTGTCTGAAGCTGGTGCCTTCAGTTCCTTCACCTCTTCCGCAGCCTTGTTGAATCTCTGACACAAGAAAAAAAAAATAAAAAATAAATTACACCTATCTCGCCCTCGTCGGTTCGCTTAAACGTGGAACTGGAGCAAAGCGTTTTCAGAAATTGGAGGATTCAGGATCGCACTAATTGGGGTCGTAGGACGTAGAATGATAATTACTTCGTCAAGAGACATTGTGTATTTTCTTTTAAACAGAACTACGAGCACGAACACGAACACGTCAGTCCCTTGGCACCGGTGCGGATCTCTGTGGTGTAAAAGCGTCCACTGGAAAGTTTCCAGTGGAAACGCAATCGATGACTGTTCCCCACTCCTGTCCTTGACTCGTTCAGTCTATACTACTGACAATAATTTTTTAGCTACGATGCAGGCCTTTAGATTAATAAACTATTATGTCACCGTGTTATCATAGAACACGCGATAATGTGACCAACGATACGGTTTTACTCGAGCTAGATCCAAATAGACTTTCCCAATGAAACGAGAACTCGTCAAACGCGCATAGGCTTATCTCGCTCCCACTTTTCTTAACATTTCTTAGATTATTTATTATCAAATATTTACTTCAGTTTCAGCGGATACTAAAAATACCGTCTAATCAGGGAAGCAAAAATAAAACCACGGTAAAATGCGTTTTACATGAGAATCAGAAGAGGTTCGATTAATTATAAGAATAATGCATGCAGAATTTTTATTATTAACACAGTAGGAAATCATACGATTCGATTATGTTAATATTAAGTAATATAAAATAAAATGAGAAGCAATTTAATAATTCATGAAGAATATTTTTTTTAAATAAGTGGAGGTAACTGTCGATGGTGCGTCACGTTCGATGAAGTCTTAGAGGTATATGAAACCGATTAATATTTCGTAAAAGAAAGAAAGAAGACAATGTAAACCACGATTCTGTGCTAAATAATTAATCTGGTACAATAATCAATATGAGATCTAATAAATGTGTAAATCTACAAATTTGTGCTAATCGTACGACGTGGACTCGTACTCTAATGTGATAAGATAAAGCAATCAAATGATCCAGCACTTTTATCGTCGCGGTTTTATTTTATATCAAATTCTTTGATATTCCTACATCATAAATGAGAGTGTTCCGATTTATGTTAACGTTCTTCGTTTCCGTACGGTGAAGCCAGGTGGCACCACTTGCTGATGATACTTCTACCAACTTCCACGTAAAAGATGGCGGACTGCAAGGGTGCGTTTTGTAATTCTTTACATTTACAGTAAACTATCGGTAGATTCAGTGCGATGTCGCATGCATTTCGTATAAGAAACGATTCGCGGAGACCCGTGTTCACATTTCACTGATGGCTACTTCGCGCCGGATGCACAGCGTTCGCGTTTGCTCGCGCGTGTACGCTGCCCAACGGATCGACCAACAGCAACATTGTTTGACAATCATTTTCTAATTGTTTCCATTCATATTTTTTTCACGCAGAGAACAAGGAAGACGCGAACAGGCCATGGTATTTAAAGGTAGACCCACCGCGGGAATCGTCTGGAGAATCTCCTGAAAATTCTACAAGTGGTAATAAAATGCACCGTTGTTTTTTTCTCAACTGTCCAACCGTCGTTTCTCATATCACCATCGTTGCTCCGCTGATTTTTCATTCTCATCCGTGATCTTCCATTGATTCCGTCTACGAGCGTAAACGGGGATTGTTAGAATCGAGGAAAATTACTTGTGTTTTGCTGCGGTCGTAGGTTATGATGCGTGCACGTATACACGACTGTTTACATGTGTGAAAATCGTAAATTAGGTCGACTTCTCTCGACGCGGATCCACAGTTCGTTAAAAATTGATCGCCGACCCGCGGTTCATTCACTTCATCCAGGCGCGAATTGTTTCAGAAAGTATGGAACAGCCCGAGACAACGGAAGACAGCAAAGAGTCTCAGGAAACGCCGTCGAGCTCTAGCAAGCCGATATTAGCAGCGTCGAAATTCGCGACTTCGTTCGGTGGTAATGACTTCTCGAAATCATTGACGAAGAAGAGGAGATCGTCGATACTATGGCCGTCTCAATTAGGCACAGTGACCAACAGCCAGCCGACGACGAAATCTTATTTGCAACCAGCCAAGTTTCAAAACCCTTTTACAAAACTTGCTGATCCAACGACAGATGAGAAGAATGATTCGACGAAGGAGAACAGTAAAACAGAAGAGAAGGAAGAGAAGGTCGAAGACAAGGTTGAAAAGGAGGACAAGAATGAAATGGAAGAAGTAAAGGAGGAAGTAAAAGAAGAGAAGTCGGAAGTGAAAGAAGAGGAGAGCGATGAGAAAACTGAAACGAAAGAAGAGAAGAGCGAGGAAAAAGAAACTGCAGAAGCCAAGGAAACCAAGAGCGAAGAGAAGCCTGTGGAAGAGGTGAAGCCGACTTTCCTGATGCTGGGCGCGACTACGAAGGACACTGTGAATAGTACCGTGGCACCTTGCACCTCGGAGCCAAACTTCGTGTTCGGTCAGAACCTCCAGGAACGGGTTATGATCGCGAACGACGCGGAGAGTTCGGAGAAATCGGAAACCGAGGAAAAGAAGGAGGAAAAGAAAGAGGAAAATTCGAACGAGAACGGCTCCACGGAGCTTCTGTTCTCCGCGGCTTCAGCGGCGTGTCGTACTACCTCCAAACCGAGTCTGTCGCTGACGGAAGCAGCTCAGGAATTGGAGGAAGCGAACCGGGCTAACAAGAGGAAGTACAGTCAAATAACGCCGTTGACGGGCGAAGAGGGAGAGACGAACGTTTTACAGATTAACTGCAAATTCTTCGCATTCGACAAGGTTCATATATCATTAATAAACCGCGGATAAAGAATTAACGACGAAACGATTGTTTTCACTGACGGTATTTAATTTTAGGCCAGCGGCAGTTGGCAGGAGCGGGGCAGGGGGACGTTGAGACTGAATGACCGGGACGAAGAGTCTCGTCTCGTCGGGCGCACGGCTGGCACTCAGAGATTGATCCTCAACACGAAAGTGTGGCCTGGAATGACCGCGGAGAGGGCCGCGCTGAAATCGTTGAGGCTGACCGCGATGGACGTGGTAGGTAGCATCAGAATCTTCACCGTCCAAGCCGCGCCGAAAGAGGTGGAGCAGCTGCACAATCTGCTGCAGCAACGACTGAAACGGGCGCAAGAGCGCCAGCCTAAGAAACTAGCGACCGATCACTGATGATCGATCAATCGTCGCGAGTCGTTCGTTCGTTCGCCAGAACGTTGCCCCGAGCTCGGGCGCTGAGGTTGACACGTGAGAACAAGCTCGAAGTCAGGCCCTATCACTTCTTCATTTTTAGAGTAATAGCGCGATGTAGAGCTGCTAAAAGCAATTCCGCGCTTCTCCATCGTAAGAACGGAAGTCAAAGTCCTTGATGTTTGCAGGCGGATAAAAAAAAAAATAATCATAAACAGCAGACACGAAGCGAAAGAAGTTAAGTGAATTCAGAATAATAAAATGTTATAATCATTCCCGAACGATAATTCTGTTATACGGGGGAGATTCTTTAATTTTTTTTTTTCTTCTCTTTGTTCAAACGAAACAGGAGAGTCCAAGGGGGAAAGCATTAGTTAGACATTTTTTATAACGGCATAATAAATGTACACGAACACACAGAGACACGGTCGGTCATGAAACTACCTAAACAACTAATCGAATTTTACTTTTCTAACACCCATCGATCAGTCTCGAGTCTTTTCTTAATCAATCACCTTACCGACTTTTATCTTAGCAACATTCGTATCGAGTACAATTTTATTCCCTGTCACATATATAAATATATAAATATTATATAAATAGAGATGATTATAAATATATAAATAATGTAATTTGTAAGAACGATAATCCTAGTTTCGTGATTTAACGCGACCCGTCGACGAGGAGAGGCGGTCAATCGAATCTGTTCCGTATTGGGCAGGCCGCATAATTAACCCAGCGCGAGCACAAACCACGCGAACACGATCTTGTAACTACTTGTATTTTAATTTTCCATTTGTATATAGCAGCCGTGAAGCCCGTTTCCTCGTCGTATCTTTGTGTGTCTTACCTTGATAAGGCTGTGTTCGGGGCGGCATCTCTACAATTTCTTGTCTTAGCGATATTTACGAGGATCGAGAAACGACGCGCATTAACAGAAGTGCAAGTCTATTTACTTAAAAGAGAATAAACAAGAAAAACGCTTTTCGCATCACCGATAAATTACCGTTTCTTTGTACTCGAAGAATCACACTGTACACATCGTTACAAGAAATACAAAACTCTGTATAAAACACAGTTGTTACTGAAACCCTTCCACCCCCTATTTGAACAGCGGATCTTCAAGGATTTATCCAGACTGGAAAGCGGACAGAGCCGCGCGCAGTCTAATATTTTCCGCTCGCGGCGCTCACGGACCGACGCGGGCGGCATTCAACAGGCCGGTATTTATAGATTCGAGAGTTTCGCGCAAAGCTACACAACGTTTTCGGCGTGAAAATCCGGCTCCTGTCCTCGTCAAAGTCTACCGACGATCGACGGCCACTAATTCCGTCCTACGACCTGCTGTTCTAACTAGTGTCAGAGTCGTGTCCAAGTTTCGCAAGTACTTCCGCAGAAGTGTGGCCGCAGCCGAGGTGTCCAACGCAACCGCCTAGCTGACGTTTGAACATTTCTAGCGCTGCTTTTGGCCGCGACACGAAACAACATGCACCGCACACGGACTTCCCGTCGACTTTGAAAAAAGAAGAACAGTTTTGCGTTTGGAGGGACGCGTTCAAAGTCGTAAGATTTAAAAGAAGACTTCGTGTCTAACGTTTGACAAATGTTCACTCATCTCTCATATCGTCGAACCGGGAGCTGACTCGTCAAGGTCGCGGCACTTCTGCTGACCCAGTTCTCGTCGTAAACGAGTTTCTTCTTCAGAGGTCATACGTTAATTCCGTTAACGATGTGACGCGGCGCGCTGGACGTTTCGTCGAACTCGTCCGATCGGCAGGAAGTGATCGGTGGGGAAGGAAGATGTCCGAGCGGGAATTCTTCGACGATTACGCTGCGCGGCGGCCAGGAATTCGGGCGTCGTGGGACGGCAAGCTGAGAAGATAGCATCCGAGAATTCGGATCAGGGACTTGTCTGACAGACGTCAGTGCCGTTCACGACACCGCGTGGAATCGATTATTACGGAAGATGATCGGACAATCCAGAAGAGATTTTCTAAATAATTCGTATACACAAAACACGATAGAAGATGAAATTCGTAAAGGAGGTATTTAAAAATGATAAGTACGCCCGTGCGACGAACTGATTAATTGAAGTGGAGGAGATGGCAGTGAGAGAGTGAAAAAATCAAGCTTGGAAGATGATGTTCACGGCTGGTGCGCACGCGAGGAGGAGGAACGCCGGGGGTGGCTCGGGTCAGAGGTCCTCCGCGGACCGCAGGAGCTCGCAGGCTCGCGCGGGCGCGGAAAGATACACTTACAGGTGAGCCACCCGGTAGGTAAAGACTTGCAACTCGTTCGCCAATTAGAATCACCATCAAACAAATTATCATCGATCGGGCAATAATTAAACGCACTTTACAACTTCGTTATGAGTAGCCCGTCAATTTTCTGCACTTATAAAAAAGTTTAAATAATATAATATATGCAAATTAAAGGAACATCGATGCACGCATATTACACACTAGAAGATGTATAACACAATTATTTTATTCTGCACGAAAGTCTGCAGTCTAATTGTAAAACTCGTAGACGAAGTATTTTTTTAAATTATAGTATATTTTAGTATAATATTATATTATAAATTAAATTATAGTATAATATTATATTTTAAATTATTATATATTTAGTAATATTTTATTAAATAGTCACGATTCAAGCTGACACATTTACAGGACGAGAGTCCCGGTGTTGAATCCCGCGGAGCTGCCGCCGACGACGTCTACTGGGAGGACGTACGTCTACCGGACGAGAGTCCCTCGTAGGGACGTCGCGGCCGCGGCTGCAAACGCGTCTCACCCGCACCCGAGCCACGTGGGTGGCGGCCCGATCACCAAGAGAAGGGGCGCGGTGAAACAAAACAAGGTCCACGTGGTCCGTGGTCACAGACTGGTGGCAAAATTCTTCCGCACGCCGACGTTCTGCGCCTTCTGCAAGGACTTCCTCTGGTAATTAAACAAAGCAATTAAAATCTATTTAATAAAACATGAAACGAAAAGAACTAAAATAAAACTTAGTAGATAATTACCGCCAGAGTCGATGGTAGTTCAAGGACACGATTTATCTGAGGAATTCGATTAAAGATAATCAGGGGAATGTTTGGCCGAAGAGATTCGCGGTTTGACGTACGAACGTCTGGATTTGTGATAAAACACGTTAAAAGCCGGATTCGATGATATACGGTTTATGCATCTAAAAATAGTCTCGCGTTCGACGGCATTTATTCGCGCGCGCGCGCGCGCGCTTGAATCCGGGCGCTGTCGCGGCCGCGTGTGCACGTGCAATTAATCCTGAAGCGGCTCTTCTGTGTCGCAGGGGCTTCGGGAAGCAAGGGTACCAGTGCCAAGGTAAATATTGAGTCGCAGACCGGCAGGTTTTTACGTCTGCCCGCAACCACCGCTCACCCTCGCCCTCGCTTCCTCTATTAATAATTCTCTCTCGTATGGTACCGTTTCGCAGCCTGCCAAACCGCCGTGCACAAGAAGTGCCACGATAAATTGTTAACCAAGTGCCCGGAGAGCGGCAGGGAATCGGAGAACACGGTTGTAAGTGTTTACTCTTTAGGAACCCACTGACACGCTTCACGAAAAATCATCCCACGATTCGCCCTGCGAGGAGATCACATAAACAATTCAATTTAATGATCACAGATAGATTTTTAAAAGAGTCGATGTATACAGGAATTCGAATCGTTCTTTAAATGTAAATCCAGTAGTTTTATTGATGAATATTTGTCGCACATTTGAATCGCGCGCGTGTGTGTAGTTGATGTGTGTGTGTGTGGAAGACGCACCGATTCCTTCTTTTGTATCTTCTTAATATATTACAACGTATCGTTTCATGCATTCAATAAGTATGTAGTTTGTAGTTTATAATTATCAATAATAATAAATATGTTTAATTATACTCGAACATTTATAATGCGATTGGAAAATATATTAGTGATCCGAATTCTTGTTTATACATAAATATTAATAACGGAAATGGGTTTGCGTTAAATGTAAAGATCGTACGGAAACGGTGTTTATTTAATTTCCTGAACGGCGCACAGTCCGTCCAGAGATCTTATCGTAAAAGACCGCTTCTTTACTCAC